TTCTAACATAAATATGAAGCTTGCTCCTTCCTCTCAAAACACACACGCTATGTGTATGTCATAGGGGGTGTCACACATACACCTAATATACCATACCTATCCTGAAGCACCTGCATCACTCAGATAAAGGCAGCCCCCACCTTCTGAAGCACTTACTTGTGTGGGGATAATGTCCAAAACCCAATTTCTTGCCAAACATGTTTTCCACTCATCTTCATCTCAGTAAATCTCATCACCATCTATCTAGTTCAAGCCAGGAACCTTGAGGTCATTTTTGACACCTTTCCTGTAACATCCAATCCATCATGAAGATGTCATTCCCCCACCATTCCTATCTCCTGTTTCTGTCTATGTAAAATTATACACACACACACCCTTTTCCTTTCCTTCATCTCTATATATGCTACCCTAGTTCATTACCATCAAATGGTACTGAACAACTATAACAGTACAATGTCTTTGCTTTCTCCAATCCATTCTCAACCAGTGGTATTTTTAAATTTTAAAGCACGTTACTTCTCTGCTTCAAAATTTTCAGTGACTGCACTGTCCTTAGTAAAGCCGGAGTCTTTTGCATGCCCTGTAATGCCCTGTGTGATCTGCTCTCTGCCCTTTCATCTGCCATGTTTTCTCTATTGTTGTAATCCTGCCACCTGGAACTTTCGGTTCCTCCAACCTAACAAGCTATTTCTTGCCTTCATACATATCTTTCTCCCTCCCAGAAAACTCTTTCCCCGTCTGGCTTCTTTATGTCTTGACTTAAATAGCACCACCTGAGAGAGGCCTTCTCTGACCACACAATTTAAAATCCTGCCCATTTTTCTCCCTCATAGCACCCTGTTCTCCTCCTCTATTAAATCCATCACAAGATGTAATTTCACATTTACTTGTTCATTATCAGTTTCCACTATTAGACTGTAGAATCTACAAAGGCAGGGTTCACTTAAATATGCACTTAGGTAAATATTATACATAATAAATTAAGAGGTCACTTAATAAATCTGTTTAATGAATGAATGGATATGAATGACCTGGGATCCAGAGAACAAATTTAAAGTTCAAAGTGGCTTCCCCTTCTCTGGGTTTCCCATTGTCACTTGATCAGCTTTTTTGAGGGAGCAAAAAAATGTTCCTGTAAACTTAAAGGCAATAAAATAAAGGGAATGTCAGGAAGTTGTACATATGTCAAATAATAATGCCATGATCTCGTGGGAAGGGGGATCCTTAAGGGTTACAATGACAAGAGATGATTTTATTCACAAAGTAGAATTTGACCGGAGTATTCCCAGCGTGGTAAAATTTGAACAGGTGGAATGTAGGGGAGTGAAGTCCAAATAAAGAAGTAAACAGAGATACAAAGTATTAGAAGATAGCCATAAAACTGCAATGTGGCAACTTATATTTACAAAATAAATAAGTGTAAAAAAGCTAAGTTTTCTATCATGTAAGAAATCTACATTGTGTTAAGACATGTTAATCATGTTAAGACCACAGCTACAAAACATTTAAAAGGTTATAATAAAATCATTCTATTTCCTCAGTGCCCATAAATCTCTAATTCTAATCTTTGGCTTTTAAAGTTTTTCAAACACTTAAGACAATATTCTAATAATTAGTTTTCCTAATTCGTTTTCACTCTAACACTCTCAAGTTTCCATATTCTCACCTGTACTCTTTATTCACTATACTGATACCTGATGAAATTTCCCCAGTGGATCTACTATGCCAGTCTTATTTTTCCATTATAGACTTGAACCTCTCCAGGATTTCATTTCTTCTTCTGTCAAAGTATTTAGTTGACTTCTTCTATTACATTTATATCATTGATAAACACATCTAATCCTTTAGAAAATCTAAAGTATTCACAAGTATCAGTTTTTCTTTTACAATTGATAGAAGCTTCAATAGATTTTACTTCTAAATCTATACTACTACTTCAGCTCCTGCCTCTTAAATGTATACATTAAGCCCCTCCCTTCAACTCGATATTGTTTCCATAGGTAAAATGCCAAGGTCTAGTTCAAGCCTTATAGAAGGCATTCAGTTACATTAGATAAGGGGTTTGGATTTTAAAGTTTCTAAAGATACTTATGATTTCATTAATTTCATCTTGTTATGGGTTTTTTTTTCCACTGACAACACTGCTTATCTTTAGTTATACCTGCCCACTGGAGGTTATTCTTTTAAAAACATTCTTTTCAGGTAAGGCCAACGATACCGCTATTTGTTTCAAAACCTCTGCCTTTTCTTACACTTAAATCCAAGTATAATTTTTGTAACTATTTCAGAGGACAGGTTTCTTGGGATACTTAGAATCACAGAATTGTAAAACTGTAGAAAACTAAGGTTCACAGAGGTTAAGAAATTGACTAGAGCTACACAGGGTGGGGGTCGGGACCCCGGGATGTGCCATCCTGGCATGCAGATTATTTCAAACTGAAAACAAAGCCCAACAAACTCAGGAAGAGGATTTTTCTTCTTTTTCTTACCTCCCCCTTTCCTTCTTTAAGAGATTCAGATAGAAAAACCTTCAGGAAGAGAACCTTAGCATATTCACTTTAGCACATCTTATGAATTAAGTATGGTATTCTGGAAGGATCCATTCAAAACCTGTTCACTAGATTCCCCTCTGTCCCATTGTTTCTAGATTGCCTAGCAAGAATGTGTTTGCCACTTTCTAGGCTACCTGTGAATTGCCCATTTCCCCTTTGAAATACCAGACGCTCCCCTCCCCCTTTCTCCTTTGTCCAAAATGACATACCTACTTCATTTGCCTCAGTCTTTGGAATTTTGGGGCTTATATGAATTCCCCATGTGCATGTATTAAAATTTTATATACTCCTGTTAGTCTGCTGTATGTTGTCTGAATTATTTGACCAGCCAGAACTAAATGGTTTAGGGGAAAGCGTCCCCAGCTGACAACAGCTAGTCGAGTGACAGTCCTGATTCTCTCTAATCAGCACTCCTTGCAAGTCAAGAAGGCTTTACTGGTTACACCAGCAAAGTTTTTTTAACTCTACTTAGGACATCATCTTTTTCTAGTTAATTATAAGGTTTTTGTTTTTTAACTCTACAATAGCCACTCTCCTAAAACTTTTCAAGGATGACAAAGATACCTGAAGCAATTCTGGGAGGCAACTCTCCCCGCCCCACCCCGCAACCCCAGAGCATTTCATGTCTATATTACATACTCTAATTTATAGGAAACTGCCCAAGGGCTAAGACTTACCAATACTTTGTAGTACACTATAGCAACTTAATGTGACGTGTCAAAGTAACAGGAGGAGAAACAGAAAAGTCTTGGAAGATAATAAATACAGGTTTTACGTGCTTGAAGCAATAGATACTTTTTATTTAACAAGAATTTATCAATTATCTATCCTAAGGAAAGCTCTGTGCTGCCAGCTATTAACAAAAGGTCGCATTTAAATTCAAGTTCTGTAAATCCAACAGAAAACAAGAAACGCTATGTTCATCCTTTTGCATTGCAAAACAAAACACAACACAGCCCTCTCCCCTGGGTAATGTGGAGTCCCCCCTGAAGTTCACCTTCTTTCTATACATCCACGTTTGTAGAACTAGTGGTTCTTTGAAAAAGTACTGGTATCATTATGAACAAAGTTGAGTAGAGTAACATGACACAAGATAAGCCCTCTTTCCTTTGCAAGATCGTAGCTGGCTAAGTAGAACTGGAGAGTTTGAAATCAGAGAAAAGGAAAAGGTGCAAATTGGCATGCAAAACTGAAAAACTAAATTGTGAGTGATTTTATTAATGAAGACACACTTTATTTAATACGAGGCAAATCCTGAGATAGTTATGAGCATTTCACATGAATAATTCCAGACTTCCCAAAAAACTGTGTAACACTGCTAATAACAATTTAAAAAAATGTGTCTACTTGGTTCTGAAAAGTTTTATTTTTCTTTAAAAAAAAAGGGCAAAACAAAACCAAAAAAGGAACCAACAGAAACCCCTGGGCTGGCGACTGCGACAAGCCCGTAAGACACCCAGGCTTTCCGGGCCGGGTCGTGCTGGGCTTTGGGATGGACGTCCGCGAGGCGAGTCCTGGAACCACCCATCACGTCCCACGCCCAGAGCCCAAGCGGGCGGCCGTGGCGGCGGGGTCAGGGCCCCGCTGCAGACGTGGAGAGGCCCTCAGGGCGAGGGATCCCAGGGAATGCGGCGCGGTCGCAGCCCGGGAGGCAAGGCCTGCGACAGCGCCGGGGGCAGCCCGGGCTCGGGGGCACCGGCGCTCGCGCGGGACGCCCTGTCACGAGTCACGAAGGCGAGAAGGCGGGCGGGCGGGGGAAGAGGCTGCAGGACCGAGGGAAGCCCGACGCTCGGCAGGGAAGCGCGCAGACGGGGAGGCCCTGACCTCACGCGGGGCGGGGAGGGGAGCCCTGCCCACCCTGCCCTCGCCTCCTCCCGACGCAACAGGCACAGGCGCGGCGGCCGGTCCCGACCCCAGGGGCTGCGGGCGGCGGGGCGGGGGCAGCGGCCCGCAGCCATGACAGGCGCGGGGCGGGCGC